TTTGGAACTTACTGCTTCTATTAATTGGAATTGGGTGCAAAACTGACCTCAAGTTATGTAGAAATGTAGCCATTGGAGTATTCAGGATATAAGTGGGGATTTGGGAGCATTTACATGAATGGTTTATAGGTAATGTTTGACTGTTGATATTACTTGCAGGTTCATTGAGAATCTTTAAATACTTAACTTTATTTTTTACCTATTGGTTAGATAGTTGTTATTTCTTCATGCTTTTCAGTTTGTACTAGGGAATCCCACTTATGCTTTAGAGTGGGGTTGGCAATTAATCTCACTTAACTCACCACGTTAACAACCCCCCCCCCACGATTAATCAGTTTTAATCGCACAGCTAAATACAATATCATTTGAATTGTATTGCGTATTTTGGGTGTTTTTCTGTGTTTTCAGTTACAACACAAATAAGGTAGAAAACAAACAAAATACTTAAATGGTATTCTGTTGTTTGTGCCAATAATCACAACTGATTTTTTTTTAATCACTTGATAGTCCGACTTTGGAGTACAGGTTGAACCTCTCTAATCCAGCATCCTTGGGACCTGACTGGTGCCAAACCAGAGAATTTGCTGAACCATGGGAGGTCAATATTGTCTGGCAGCATTACCAACACTTTCACTGCTTATTGGGCTCTTAGAAGACATTTGGGATTAAATTACAGCTAAAGAACAGCACAGAACACTGAGAGCCAGGACTGGTGGCTGTAAACAAATTTGATGGGACCATGGGAAACTTGGCCACACCCATGACGAATAGACATCCATCTAACTAAAATCATGCCATACAACGGATGGCACCGGACTAGACAGGTTCCACCTGTACTGTAACAGATTTGGTGTATTTTGAAAGGAAAGGCCTCGTGTGCTTGAAGCTTTCAGAAATGGGTATCTGGAAGTAAATTGATGTATTTGGGTGCTTACTCAGAATCTGTCTCAATTAGAAGCCAATAAAAGAGAGCTTAACACAATTATGTTAAAACCATCCTTGTAATACTAATTCTTTTTTGTAGTCTCCCCTTTGTGTAAGAATATTTGCATTTTTATAGTAGTTAGTATGTAAACTTATTTGCATTGCATGTTACCTAGTTTACCCCCATGTAAGTACAACATGCCTTAGAATTAGTTCCTGAAAACTGGATGCCACTTCACTAGCTTTCTGTAATACAATTTACTGAGTCCAGTTTCCCTGGGTTTGAGCAGCACTAGGCTAATAACCTAAATACTTTTTCTCATTTTAAATATACTTTTTTGTTTCTTCAGGAAGTATGAATCAGAACCAGCGTCTTGATGCAATGGCTAAATTGAAACAGTTCCATTGTAGAGTCCTGATTTCCACAGACTTGGTGAGTTTTCTTTTCTGTGAAGCAGAAAAAGTCCTTTAGAATATAAATTCACATACTGTAGAGCTGACTTGGAGATAGATCTGACTTAGTGTATTTATAGAACAGTTATCTGAAAATAACAGCTTTTATCTGGGTAGCATACATACTGCTGTTGCTGTGCTTGTTTCACCTTCAGAAAAGAGAACCAATTTTCAAAGTCCTTTTTTAAAATATAAAGTTCTAATATTTATTTCTCGTTAGTTACTTTTCTGTTGTTAGGTTCTAGGAGGCTATATTAATTTCAAAGAAGTAAGTCTCTACCTTTTGGTGGTGTTGGGGGGAATCAGAAGTTACTTACACCTTCATATGAAACCAACACAACACATTTTAAGAAGAGCAGTAGCTATATATTTTTCTGTGGTATGTTAAATTTGGCCATATATATTTTCTGGTACATTTAAAAAAATGAAAAGACAGGGCACGGTTCCAGCTGTCTTCAGTTGAATGCTTGAAGTTGTCACCTAAAAATTAGGGATGTTAAATAGTGGTTAGGAAGCTAATTGAATAGGCGATTGAATTTCCATAGACTACTCGATTAGTTGATAAAGGGGGTTCACTGCGGCTCTGTAAACGTAGTAAGAGACCGACGGCTCTTACCACATTTTAAAAGTAGAGGTGCAGCATGTGGGACCCAGTGTAAGCTAGGACAGCTGAGTCCTTGCTCGTGCTGTTTCCGTTGCTGCACCTCTGCCTCTCCTGACCCCCGTGGAGACGGTGCTGGGGAAACGGCTTTTAAGCTGGATCCCCTCCCAGCACCGGCTCTTGCTCCCTCCCCCTTGCTGCCTCTGATACAGGCTTATCAGGTAGCTGACTAGTCACTTACATCCCGACTAAAAATACAACTGTGCTGTGTGTTGTTTCTAAGCTGCGAACATGTGTACTCCCTTGGTAACCTGACATCATCTTTTCTTCCTCCGTGATAATACAAATGATCTTCATACAGTGTATTGAAATACATAACATTTACAGAAGGGGGGACTCCTGAATTGATAAGGTAAGCTGCTTCTCTTGTATTGCTAGTCACCATTCTTTTATTTTTATTCCCTCCTAAAGACTTCTCGTGGAATTGATGCTGAGAAGGTGAATCTTGTCATCAACCTAGATGTGCCTTTGGACTGGGAAACGTACATGCATAGGATTGGCAGAGCTGGCCGCTTTGGTAAAACACTGGTGTGGGATTGTGTAGCTGGAAGTGGTGCATCTGTGGAACTGGCTAGCTAATTCTTCCCTCACTCCATGTTGTAGGAACCTTAGGCCTAGCTGTGACTTACTGTTGCCGTGGGGAGGAAGAGAATATGATGATGAAAATTGCACAGAAATGTAACCTTCAGCTTCTTCCTTTGCCAGGTACAACCTGACTCCTGAATTTGTCTGCATTATATTCTCTTGGATGGTTTTTGTTTATGTGTTTGTTTTAAACTGACAGCTCAGTTCACAGGCAGTTTTGGTGAACTGTGGTTTAGATACAGTGTAGGATTTAATAGTTGCATATATGTCTTGTAAATCAGAGTGTTGGTATTAACATACATAAATAGCTCTTAACTATGTGGCCTCTACCTTTATTTTAAATCAATGCAAAGTAATGATAGTGAAGGCATTCAGATTGCCCAGTTCCTTCCTTTTCCCCTCCACCATTGTACTGCACTCAAAGCCCATAAGACCTCAGCAGTAGGTCTTGCCCAGGAAGGAACTGGGCATTCTGAATGCCTTCACCATCATCACTTTTCCCACCAACACAGTTTACCTGTTAGCAGTGCTTTTCCTTTCTGTGCCCTGCTTTTTTGAAAAGAAAACCAAAACATCTACCAGTACTACTGGGGATATTTAGAGCAAATTTGACAACTGTTTTGGGATTTTGTTCACTAGCATGCAAAACCTACATGGGATCAGAAAGAAATCTTGTGCTGCTTTTGACTACATGGCTGCTTTATTCTCATGTGCAGAACCTGTACCCGCTGGATTGATGAAGCACTTTGCAGATTGGGATGTGGAGGTCACAGCTGTTGCCCATGCAGATGCTTCCGTGGACACTCCTACTTTGACCCATAAAAGTCCAGAGGAGTCAGAGCAGCACACAAGCATAAATAGGTGTGCTCAGATACCTCCGTGTGATCCTGCAGGGGAAAAGTCCTCCACATCCAAGCCAAGAAGGGTTTCCAAGCACAAGCAGCTCCTAAAAGGCTACCGAGATCATGCAAATGCAGAAAAAATTAGCAAGAGTCCAAAGACATTCAACCTCAGCACACAGCAGACACACCAAATGGCAACGACCTGCAAAACCACTGAACAGCATATTGATCAGCATGTGGATAAGGAAACCTTAAAAAATACACTCCCCAAAATCCCTTGCCTATCGTCATTTAAGAACCAGCAGCCTGCCCTTCCCTGGAGCTTTACAGAGTTTGTTGACGATTATGAATACTTCATTAAAGAAGGGTTGGAGAAAAGGGTTGAAATCATAAGAAGCTACACAGGCCCTGGAGAACAGTACCAGCACCCTAAAAATGGGACTTTTGAAAAGAAAGGGATGGAGGAGACCATGCAGTCAGTAGCAGACAGTCTCTCATTTGAGGACACTGATAGTGATAGTAACTCATACCGTTCCGGAGCTTCCTCACCTTGCAGGGGGGAAAACAAGTCTTTCTGTGAAGCCTCTTCAGATACTCAAGAGAGAGGAAGTGATGAACTCAATATGGATCAGGCTGCTCAGAATTATTCTCAAAGCATAAGCAGCTCTCTGAGTCCAATGGAGCACCAACAAATACCACAAACCCAAAAGCACAGTCAGGTGGAAAAGAAGGTGGTGAAACAAACTTCCAAACGGTGTAAGAAAAGCCGCCACCAACGTTCCGCCAGGCCTCCAAAGAGAGAAGCCCAGGCAGACTATTCACACAGCCCTCCGGTGGGGAGTGTCCCTGCCTTTCCCTATGAGACTCAGGCTTATGAAGAATACTGGAAGTCCTATTACCAAATGTGGCAGGGCTATTATGCTTCTCACTCTTACAACAGGAGATGTCATTGGCCTTTTAACTGGATGACTGCTTATCAAACCAACTCTGTCTATCTTCAAGAACTGTTGAAGAGTGATTAGTGATGGGAGAGCAAGCTTCACTGCAAAAGGACTGCGCTTTATCAAGAGCTATCATTTGCACACAGGAATTGGCTTACAGAAATAAACAGATGTCTGTTTTTAGGCTGAATTAATTTTTCTTTTTGGAAGTAAACTGTGGGCAAAGGATTTGTATACATTCCAGTGAGTTGGCATTGGTCCTGCACCAAATGTTTGTCAATAAATAGAAATGATTTGTCTTGTACATCTGGATGTTGGATTTCTGTCTTCTAAGTGAACAAAAATGCAGAATCAGATTAAGGACAATTTAGATTTAAGAAGTAGGGATGTAATAGGGTAACCCTTTAAACGGTTATCCCATGTGCCTGGGTTTGTCAGTTACGTGAAGAGTTACATGCAGTCTCCTACCCCACTCCCAGGGAGCCGGCTGCCACGCTGCACTGCTGGCTAATTGGGAAGGTGGTGGGAGCCAGAGGCAGCAGTGTAGGATGGCAGCTGGCTCCGTGGGAGCGGGGCTGACAGGTGAGAGCCGGTACATGCTGGAGCAGGTTGCCATCCTGCACTACAGACTCTGCAATATTAAGCTTATAGTGCAGACTCTCCAGCATGTAGCCGTGATTTTCAGTGGTTATACAGTTACCCAGTTACCTGCTTTTTAATGTCCTTAGTAAGAAGCCCCATTTGAAAAACTCGGCAAAGTATACTGTCTGATTTTCAGAGCTGTACACTGTTTTTGTGGTACTCCATGAGTGAGGTTGCATTTGTCGTTAAAAAACCTACAGAAATTACTATTCATGGGCGGCTATCATCCTAGTTGTCATAGCGCCGCCTTAAGCAGAGCCAAAATTGCTTCTGCTGTTTAATAGTGGTAGATTGAAACTGCTTATCTCCATTAATACGTGTATTGCTAATTTAAATTGATTTAATTAAAACTGTATAAATAACACTTCCACAGCTAGGTATGGTAGACTGTGTGATAGAAACGGTTTTAATTATATACCAAAAAATGCAGCTATCATAATTGGCCTGTCCTCCTGGGTGCTGCAGTATCAGACTTGCCATGCTTAAGGGAAAACTTTAATTAGAAACAAAATTACCTATTAGCCCTGAAACTAATTGGGGATTCTTTGTTTAGATCTTGCTGCTGATTTGTGCCTGTTTTAAACTTGGAAAAAATGGGCAATTGGGTGACTTAGGATAGTGGTAATGGATATAGAATCTTTCCACTCTAGCTTCTGAATTCCAATCTAGCCTCAGTAGAATGCTTGAAAGTTACCACCTGAAACATTGCTCTGCGTTCTCTGTGCAGCGATCTGGGTGTCAGGCCGGTTCCTAGTGCACAAGTGTTGATTTCTCAGCCATCCACTATTGATCCTGTTCTTGCCAGTCCTGGGAGATGCCAGGACATAGCCTGCAGTTCTTGAGTGGGAGGGTTGCTTCCTCCCTATAAGAGTAAAAATACAGTTCTGGGTGGAAGCTTGCTGTTTCTACATGCACCACACCTGGTTAGAAGACTTCAGATGGAAGAGGGTTCAGTTTCACCAGCTTGCAATTCATTTTGAGAAATTGTGAATTTGTCTTCATCCACTGTAACTCAATATCAATCCGTTGCTACTTTCAAAATAGCGTTGTTGATATTTGATAGCAGACCCAGTAGGCAACTGCATGGAAGTCCTGTGGTGTGTGTGGCTGTCACTTCCATGCCAAAATCATGTTGGAAATGTATGAGGACACATTCACAAGTTACTGCATAGCTCCCATTAATGTGAAGAAATCTCAAAATCTACGTGCAAATGCCAGTGTTCAAACCCTTACTCTAGAGCAAAACTCCACTCCTTACTACTTAAACAATCCTTAAAAGGCTTCAGAGAGGTCTTTCATGGGAAGCTCTTTAAATAAAGGCATAGGGATCTTTGATAAAGTGACTTACAGAGAGGCGGGCGTGTTGGTTGCGGATATTTCCATATAGTACTTTTCCAAACCAAAACTCATGAGCATGCCATATTTAAGTAAATGAATATGCTTTTCTCAGCTTTGACTATTTGCTATTCCAAATATCTCTTATCTATTTGCAGGATATAAGTGTTGTTGTACAAGCTTCCTTTCCTTTTCAGCCTGCAGTAAATGTACAAAATTGATAAAATTAGCACATGAAAGTGACACCTCCTTTCCCATCTGCTGGTCAATTACGGCTTTATGCTTTCACTCCTTTGTGAGCAGAAAAAACAGCGGCACCTAGTGTGTGTTGGAGTTCACAGCAAATTGAAAAAGGAACAAGTTAAATATTTAGCCTTAAGGGTTGCTCCATTGCTCAGTGTTTACAGGGGAATTGTGTAATTAGTAGCTTTTAATTAGACTGTTGGGGAGAGGGAAGAGAGACTTTTGACATGGGTTTTTGCTGTTAACTCTTGGAAGTACATGCATCTGACGAAGTGGGTCTTTGCCCACAAAAACTTATGCTCCAATACATCTGTTAGTCATCCTTGCCAGAGGAGGCTGTGAAGACTAGGACTATAATAGAGTTTAAAGAGAAGCTAGATAATTGTATGGAGGTTAGGTCCATAAAAGGCTATTAGCCAGGGGATAAAATGGTGTCCTTGGCCTCTGTCAGAGGCTGGAGAGGGATGGCAGGAGGCAAATCGCTTGATCGTTGTCTTTGGTCCACCCTCTCTGGGGCACCTGGTGCTGGCCACTGTCGGCAGACAGGATACTGGGCTAGATGGACCTTTGGTCTGACCCAGTACGGCCATTGTTATGTTATGTTCTAATCTATAAGGTGCCACTGGGCTCCTTGTAACTCTTGGAAGTTTTTGGGGGTGAGATTTTTTTGCTAACGGGTAAGACGTAAAATCAGCTGTGACTGTTTTGCATCTTAAATGCATTCCAGAGTAAGCCCATAGTTCGTATGTAGAACTTGGGAAACCTGCAGATGAAGAACTTGCAGCATGAGAACTGCCATTTCTAAAGCAATGCACAAGGGGCAGTCTTCCTCTTAGCAATTCAATGAAACGTGTGCAACAGAATTTCTGATTGAACGATACTAGTTAAAATGCAGAAAAAATAGTCAAGCTAGAGAGGTGTTTCTTCCTCTAGCGTCAGGATAAATGAACACGACAGGAAGAATGCAATTCAAAGTGCTTTTGCAATTAGTTGAAAAGACTATAATGTGATTTTTGTTTCTAAAAACAAATATACTCTATTGCTCCACTTCTAATGAGCTGGAAAGGAGGATACAGAGTTGGGCTGCATCTTGACTGTCTGCATTACGGTTTCCTTGCAAAGGCTGCCTCAGTAGGTCTCTCCATTTTGTGGAAAGCAGTCAGCACTAAAAGGGTAATCATATTCCTGAACCGTAAACATGATTTTAAAACAACTTCATAAGCAGTATAGCTATTCCCTTGTGTCTTTAAGTCATATCTACTAGCTTTACCGCTAAACATGTTTGAACTATGACCCTTGGCATAGCTGAGAAAGCAAACTGTTTTGCCTAGTGATGTCCAACATCTAGTTACAAATTTTTATTATAGGTAATGCTGTCAGTAGCATAAGGCATGATGAAGTTTCAAACTGGTGTGGCATTTCAGTAGTGGAAAATTCTTTGACTTGTCATTTTAGCTCTTAAATCAGTGGGAAAGATTTGCAACAGAATTTCAGGATACTTGTAAATCACTTTAACCCGTTTTTTTCTACAATAGGAGCCATTTTGTAATCAGTATTTTTTTTTGTTCTTAACTCTTCCTGCACTCTGCTCAGTCATGTAGCTGACAACCAAACATATTTTCTTGAAGTAAGCAATGCAGCAATCGCTGGATTTGTTCTTGTGCACCCTGCTTTTCCACACTGTTCCAGCTTCAGCAGCCGAATGGCACGTTTAAGCTTTTGGGGCTTTGTTTTTGTTTTTGCTTCCTTGGGTTCTGGGGATTTTTTACTGTTGTTTTCTGTGATGTCTTACGTTGTGGGTTTGTGTGTTGTAAGAAGGCAGACTATGGATCCCATCTATGGAGTATGTCTACACAGCAAAGTTACTTCAAGATACCAGAGGTATCCCGAAATAGCGACCCCGTGTCTTTTGAACGCGTCCACTATTTGCTATTTCGCCATCTCTGCAAACCTCATTCTACGAGGAGTAAGGGTTAGCTCAAAATAGCACTTTATTTTGGAATTTGGCACTGTGTAGACAGGCCGAATGATGAAATAAGCGATTTCGAAATAGACTAGAAATAAGCTATGCAATTTGTGTAGTGCAAATTGTGTATCTTATCTTGAGTTTCAGGTGTTGTGTACACACCCATGGTGAAATAAATTTCTCCATTGGAACCAGTACTTACAGGTTTTGCTTAGACGGTAAGATTTCAAAATTTTGTGTGCACAATACATAGTTTCCTTCTAGTCCTTGAATAATTAAATTGTTACAGTTGAAGGAATTTGTCTTTTTCCTAGACTGTAGATGCTGCCTCTCATTTACATTGCAAGTTAAAGTTGCAAGCAAGCCCTTCTCATAAACTGAAAATACTGGTTGTCGTTTTAAAAATTACCTACTATGCAAGACCTGCAGCTCTGATGAGGGTGGGAAGAGAATTATATTGCATTGTTGTGAGGCTGTATTCCTCTGACCTGAAACTTTGAGTGGAAAGGTAGAAGAAACACACTCTGTGTGTGCACCCACAGATCGGTGGGTTTTAAGGGCTAGTTCCAATTGGTTGACCCCAGTTGCCAGGTCAGGTTCTAAATAAGGGGGAGAAGTTTCCTGAAGAGCTGTGGGATGGAGAAGTTGTCTAGCATGAGAGAGCAGGAATCTTGTCTGGGTTTTCTTTCCAAGAACAACAGTAGAACCTCAGTTATGTACTCTTTGGGAGTGGGAGTTGTTCATAACTCAAATATTTGTCTCAGAGTAAAACATTAGTGGTTCTTTTGAAAAGTTTTCAACTGAACAATGACTTTATATAGGTTTGAAATTTTTGTATAGCAAAGAAAAATTAAGCTTTTAACCATCTTGTTTTAAATGAAACAAGCACAGAAATAGCTAACCTTCTCTTTGTTCTTTGGGCACAGTAAAAAAAAAAATCTATTGCTGTCAGACTCTGTACTTCTGATTCCAAATGAGGGGTGTGGTTGATTAGTCAGTTTGTGACTGAGGTTCTACTGTACAGTGCTTGCAACATGTCAACTACATTTACAATAGGTTAGACAAATATTTACAGACCTCCACAAATCTGTGGATATCCATAGGTATCCGCATCCAGG